AGCCCGGCCATATGGCAAGAGACTTGCCCCATCGGCAGGTAAGGATAGGAGCAGCCCCAGCGGCGGCAGCTCCCCTTCCTACTCTACCTAGCCTATCCTACTACAGCCGCATTCACGCAACAGGCTTACTTTAACTTTGAAGACCAATGTACATGACGTCAAAACCATAGTCGACCTCTCTCATGCACTCACTCCGGTACGTATCTCGTCTCCCCTCATCACCACCTGACACCCACTCTCTCTGGGCCTCCTCCTGAAGACCCCTCCTGCCGTTCTACACCTGCCCCGCGCCCCACTGCCCCTGCAGCACCCTCACCTCGTAGCACCCGTGCACTCCCTGACCCAATGCTGGTGCGTGCAGCCACTCGCGCAATGCACACACTGGCCAGAATGCCAGACCCTGGTTGCCTTCCTACCTATATGGAAGTGGCAGCCTCTGTTGGCCGAGTGTGGGCATGGCTGTGTCCGTTTGGGCCCCAGTGTCTACGACCAGGCCCTTCGCTGCAGTTGAGGGCCTGGGCCCGTTACAGTTGGGCACACCCAGGATTTTCCAGACTTCATCTGTTTTCTGCATTTGCATGGGCCTCCGGGGTAGATACTACGACAATGCTGTTTTCTTCAAGGCCCATGGCCACTTCGTGATGTATCTGCCTCACAATGCGTGTGCCCAGGGCACAACCACCCGGGCCAACTGTAAAGCGTAGCCCTAAGGCCTGCTTCTGGAAAGAGCTGGGAGGCTCACGTTTCCACATAACCAACTGGCGTGCTGCAACTGTCTGAGTACTCTCATATGGAAAATCGTCAAATTTTGGCCTCTTGTGAATATTCAGGCCCGCCTTCACTTAGGGCGGCACAGGGGTTGCTGAGGGCCACTGCCTAGAACATCTGCATGTCTGATAAGGGCCCTGTGAGAGCTCACTCCTCGCAAAACTTGAAGGAAGGTTGTTGGAGTGCCCTACTCTATGCGAAAGGAGGTGTTTGTCATTTTCAAAGAACTCTATGGGAAGGATGTATCCATCCATCCGACCGATTTATCAGACAATGGGGTACAATTCGCAGTGTCTTCACGGGGCAACAGCGGTGTTGAGAGCAGCACACGCAATGAGGAGCCACAACAAGGGCGGAAGCGCCGGAAGACAACTCGTGAAAAATCGGCAGCAGGGGTTGGTGATGCAATTAGAGGGCACAGCCAGGCTTAAACTGCAGCAATAGACAGGACATCAGATAGGCAAGAGAGATCCAATGACAAATTTGTGAATGTGACGATGTTGGTCATGGAGAAGATGGGGGCAAATGCTGATGTGAATCATGTGATTGCCGGAGCACTGAGAAGACACGACCGCGATGGGAACCTGGGGTCGTCTTCGTCGCCAAACTGAGACGAGTCATAGACAGTTTTTTGATTGGCCTCTTATTGCGAGGATAGGTTGGGAGGACCATTTCTAAGGATAGCTATTTTTTTCATGCATCTTATATTTGTCTGGGGGCATAGACGATATGTGCTTTTTAAGTTTTTTCTTTGAAACAACGGCGGACGCGGCATGTTTTGAGTTCCTAAAGGCAGGAAAAACAGGCCTTCGGCACAGGAAGCAAAACCTGTCCAACTACCGTATTCGGACTAGATGACTCCAGTGATCAAGCAAACAAACACACCGTGCAACGGCGCGAAAGGGTACAGTATTCCTCCAAACTCGCAGGAAACCATACGAGAACAACAAACTAACTATGTCGAAGTAATTCCACAGTGTACTGCCACACCGGTCCCTACGTAAAGCAAAATGCTTCAACACCTTCATGAAAAATTCTGTCGGGAAATCCTTCTTCAGTAGCTCCTGTTTTAAGGCTAGCGCCCTTCGTGGGATCTCGGAGCGTATGGTAGTGTTACGGTCAATTCGGTGCAAGTAGCTACCGATGACCGCACTTTTCTGCTTCTTACATCCCCAAGACAAGTAGGACTGCCCACATTGTATTTGGAGGCGTTCCTCTGTCCACAAGGTAGCTTCCTTCTTCGAAACCTGCACGCAATTAACAAAGGGAAAACATGTTCTCGTGATTATCTTGCATCCCAGGAAATCGAAATTTCCCGATCCATCATAAGTACGTTTCAAGGTGAGCTCAGCTGGGTAACAAGTCTCAAACAATCGCAGAAGCGTATCCTTCTTGCGTGCATCTTTGGACGAAATAGTTAACATCACATCGTCAATCAGCCGGATCCCATGGATCAGACGCTCGTGCCTGCCTATGCTTTGCAAGAAATGATACTCAGCAAAGGCACATAAGATGCAGGCCAGTGGTGGGCTCAAGGCTGGTTGTTTTCCCCATGGGAATACCCACCACCTGTTTTAGCAGAACACCGGTCGTATACGTGTAGGTATGCTCGAGCTCCAATCGCAGAAAAGCAGCCATCTGCCCGAAGTCCAGAAACCTCTAGTGATCTGCCCCAGTAGTCAGACCGAAAGAGGCGCCTTTGCCTCTAGAGTTCACCCTGACAGCAGTCCTCCCTTTTCCGACGTGATAGTCAAACATCCAGTCGACCGCTCTGATGATCTCTGTATGTGGTAATCGACTAAACATCTCCTTTATATCAAAGGAGAGGGTCGACACCAAAAACTCTTCGTCAAAGCTCAGCAACTTTCGGTTGACATCAGAAAGCCGACAAACCAATCCAGAGATAGACATTAGATTGAAATGCCAACCTTTTGGGAGCATTTTCAAAAGGAAATTCAGTCCCCGGGAAACCACTCTACCAGTCCGAACCATGGGCTCTTTGAAGGTAGGGCATACCGGCCGATACCTATCCAGGTCTTTCTGTTTTGGTAGAACGTAAGCCGAGATGAACTCCCCCTCCTTCTCCCATCGAACAAACTGCACCAGCCCTTTCCTTTCGACATCCTGTTTTATTTGCCTCAAGATTTCCCGATCTGAAACATCCATGATACGGTAGCCAGAACTACGTACAAAGGTGGTCATCATTGCATTATAGTACAAGACAGGGCACATGGCTACTGTCTCCCCAAGATTGCGGTCCAGGGGGGACAGCACCAGCCCATCCAGTCTCTCACACAAAACACGCACATCGTACGACGTAAGGTGGACGTCCGTTGAGTAAGAAGGGACACTCATGCAAGACTGCAAATAAGCAGTCGAAATACAAGGGGGATCCCCTTTCCAATTGCGCCAAGTCCGAAAATCGTCCTCAATTTCCTTCTTTAGCAGCTCCAGCCTATCCGATCTCACGACGTTAGGCACATTCTTGGCGTTGTGCAACAGCGGGTGAGTACCCTCCAAATCACTGACACGAACGCGAACATGTCCCTCGGAGCGAGGGAGAGACATACCTGCACACGTACAGGTTAGCACAGTGCGAGCGGCGAACGCTCGTTGATTGTGCGCAATGTCCGAAACCGAAGGGTTCTTGACCCAAACAATGTGGACCTTCCTTCGCGATCGATTCAGAAAGCACTCGGGTAACTCACCGAGCATAAGAGCATCATTCACTACCTTACGGACTTCAAACACCTTTATCCGATCATCAAATCTCAAACGGAATATAAGATCCGAACACAAACTCAAATCTCAAACGGAATATAAGATCAGTCGACGCAAGTACTTTCGGGTAGACTTCCTCGAAAAATCCTTAGTTGCCCTGTATAACCGTAATAGCGACCGCAGGTTCCAGCGGGGAACATCACTAATCTTACTTGGATTGCGTAAGATCTGAATGAGCAAGGATTTGAGGTAGCGGTATTTCAGTTTCCATTTCCACCATCGTACTACCTCAAACACTCCACCCTTTTGCAGGAGCAACTTAGAGTCTTTACGTAAAACTGTATGCCCATCCGGCCTTAACTTTCACTCCCCAAACGCCTTACGTATCTTCTTTCAGCTAGTATGCCAAACATAACCGCCATCAATTATAATATGCGCACTGGTTAACCCCTCGGTGCACCCCGAGTCGAAGAGACGGTAGAAGTCAACATTCCATGACTCAGTCATGGACCGTCTACCTCGGACAACGTCAAAGTTATCGGTAGCACCCTTTCCCCTGACGCGAGCCTTCCTACGTTCCCTATGTCCAGGTCGTTTCTTCTTCTTCCAGTTAGGATATGTTGAAGACGAGGAGTTAAGGAAAGGGGACCATCGACCAATATACACATGCTCAAGCTTATCAAGTTCGTCCCCTTCCAGATGATCGATCGGTAACAGGAGATAGTTACCTACCCCAAAATTCAACAGCCAACGATGGAAGTGTGCGGGGGTGCGAGATTTACGTACATATACATGCTCGCGCCACCACTTCGTAACGTCCCTTGACGTGTTCCCGATGTACAGCGCCCTACAGTAAGGTGAGAGGCCAGCATACACCACACGAGACAGGTAGATAAAACCAATCCCATGCTTCTCGTACATTCGTAACCAGGGCCGAATAAACCTTGCGGTCCATTTGATCTCTCCATCCAAGGACAAGCGAAGTACAACCAGACGCAAGATCTCCTCCACACGGTAATCTATACAGGCAGCTTGACAGCGAAGCTTAGTAAGGTACTTACACAGGTCCCAAAGAATCGGAATCTCCAACTCACGTTAGTTATCTACCAAATTGTCAGAGGGTTGCCCGATCTCACTATCGTTGACTTCGATAATTTCGCCAACCTCTAGGGGTTCGAGCCCGAACCTCTCACAAACACGGCGGTCAGCAATCGCGAAAATAGCATCTATCTTACCGTCATAGAGCACATCCTCCTCCTTACAGATACGTTGCAACTCCATGGCGTCCAGACTCTTCAGGCTTTGCAAGACAACATCTCGGTACCTAAGTCGTCGCAGCGCTCCAGCCCCCGCCGGCGTAGCAGGCTTCAATGGAGATTTCAATCTCGCAGCGAGCGGCGTCCTAACAGGAGTCTTCCGTTTTGCAGACCCGGGTGATTTGATCATCTTCTTAGAGCGAGTCAAACGTCCCGACAATTTCGTGGGTTTCAGCGCACTCCGCCTCGTTTTTGTTTTCGGGGGCAACTTCATTGGCGGGCTGTCGCCCAACACCTGCTCCGGGCCTCATTTCGTTTTCTCAGAGATGCAAAGCTTGTTAGTCCGCTCACTTAGCTCCTGCGTTACACTTGTATCGCTAGTATCATCGGTGGCGCAGTCGCTCCCGGACGCATATGTCACCTTCTTTTTGCCCTTCTTGATCAACTCCTTCAGTGGTTCAATGACGTACTTCATCTTCGCGGAGAAATTTTCTTCCATCTCGCTCAGCCGGATTGCCAGATGGATATCAATGTCCTTGCGAAGTTCCGCCCCCCACTCGGCCTCAAGTTTTGCTTCACGTCTTTTCTTCTCAAGCTTCTTCCTCGCCCTTTGTTCCGCCCTCTCCCTTTCCGCTGCCTCCCGCTCCTCCGCCTCCTTCTTGTCGAGCTTGCGGCGTACCTTCTCCTCCTTCTTCTGGCGAGCCTCATCATAGAAATCCTTCATCGCAGCAACCGACTTGCCAAGCTCAAGACCGTGGTCAGGATCTTGTCGCTGCCTGGTGGAGGTGATTCCTCCCTTCGTCTGTAGTCTCTCCTGCGCGGCAATCGTGCGCCTCGTTAGTCCAATGATGTAGACGGCCTGTCGACGTAGTACCGCCGACGGTTCTTTTCAGGGCACTGATTGGCATAGTGCCCTGGTTCGTGGCAGTTAAAACAAGTAGGCGCTGTATCGGTCGTCATCCCTACGCTCCTCATCCCTCCGGTCTTCACTTCGGCGGTCGTCCCTACGCCGACCGTCTCCTCCGGAACGATCGTCACGCCGCTCATCATCGACCATGATTTAGGTGGTGAAACGGTGACTTCACAACACAAGTTTCACAGCAGAAACGAACCACAGCTCTTGTCCCTCATACAACAGTCGCCGTCCGTTGGCACTCTGCCACGGTCTTGGTCTTTAGTGGTAACTCCAAAGCAGTAGAAGTCGTACGACACAGTACGGAAACACGGTCACTCCAACCCAGTATACTTCACTCCAGGTGAGTTATCGTGCGCGAGATGTCTTGGCCACACCCCAGATTGGCCATGGTCCAGATGTATAGGCCAAACCCCGGCCATGGTCCGACCATGGATTTTTTTTATTTTTTTTTCAGCTGCGGCACGGCGCGGCGTCGTGCGACCGATGGAAAAAAAAAAAAAAAAAAAAAAACTTTTTTTTTTCTCCTTGCCGCCGCGGTGCGGCGTGGCGCGACCGACCGGTTGAAAAAAAAGACAACGGCCTTAATGAAACCTCGGCCCTGACACCACCGCCGGCCTGAGTTACGAACGCCTTTTCGAACTCAGGCCCTGACACAGACGCCGATGCCTGTTTTTTCTGCCCATTACGAACTCCCATGTGACAAAAACGTACTTCGTACTACTTCCCCCCTTTTTTTTTAAGAGCTTTGATGGTATGAATTCTTTTGATTGGTTTGGTGGTTTCCACTCTGAGGGCACACTTGCACGACGAATTTTCCCCCCCACATGATATAGGCGAAATTGCAGGCAAATACATCCAGGTCCGGACTTAACTGCAGGCAGTTACATATGGTATAGTGAGTCTGCCCTCAGTAAGCTGGAGTCATCAGTGCCTAAAAAAGTCAAGGGTCAGTGACAGTAACAAGACTCGCTGTCCTGTGGATCTGCTCCACTCAATCAATCAATCAATCAAAAAAGGAAAAAAAAGGCAGGGTTCGAAAGCGGGTTTTCCCGCTTTTTTTTTTTCTTTTTCTTTTTTTTCTTTGATTGATTGATTGATTGATTGATTGGTAGGGGATGGGTCTGGGTGGGGGGTGGGGGGCGACCCATCCCCTACCAATCAATCAATCAATCAAAAAAGAAAAAAAAAGGCAGGGTTCGAAAGCGGGTTTTCCCGCTTTTTGTTTTTTCTTTTTTTTTTCTTTTTTGATTGATTGATTGATTGATTGATTGATTGGTAGGGGATGGGTCTGGGTGGGGGGTGGGGGGGCGA